TGCTCAATATATGCAAGTACGTTCTATTGGTCAATCTTCGATTCCACGTTCTGTTCTGAAACTCAAATTCGTTGTTGTCACTTCCTCTTCCACCGAACGACTCTACAGCACTGCGGCCGGTCACTGCAGACCAGCAACACAGACAGCATCCCGTGAACGAGATCTGCCTTTGATACTATCCTCTAGATTGCCCGCGTAAGCGTTTGCGCTGGGTCTTCTAAGGAAACGATCTTTGCCTTCTGAATTTGACGTTTCAAGAACTAAGTGACAGTACTACCACCACCTTGAGCATCAAGATGGTTGGGAAGGCACAAGGACGAAGAAAGTTAGGTATAATCTTTGGCGATTTCGATACGATATAGAAGGACATAACAGAGATTGGTAACTACGAAAACGTTGATTAACGCGTTTGAAGAAGAGGATGTGGAAGTTAATAAAAATGTCTCAGTGGAAGTGGCAGGTTCTGCTGAACTTGAACCCACTTACCCCTGAGCCTCAACTTGAACAGTAGGGGTTTCAATCAGAACCAGCTCAAGCTCAAGCTCAGGTCTCAGCTCAGGGACAACATGATGCAAAAAGCATAGGTTATCCACCCCCAAATAATAGTCATGATAATTTTGATTTATATATATTTATATATATTTAAAGGCGCAGAAACATGTTTAAATCGATAAAACGGGGATTTATCTGTACACTCATATAGTAGTATTTAATCACGACACGGCTTGCATCCCTTCAACTATAGGTTATATGGGACAAAGCGTCAGTGGTTTAGTGGTAAAATCCATCGTTGCCATCGATGGGCCCCGCGTTCGATTCGCGGCTGACGCAAATCTTTTGTATTTCTCTTTTTAGAGTACTTCCGCCTATTTTTCCACAAGAAAATACAGATTTTTTTGGATTTTTTTTTTTTTTAAAAAAAAAAAAGGTTGTGAGGTTTACCACTGATGTTTGAAATTCGTCGTCAAAACCTTGCAAAATGTAAGTAATAGCGTTAGTAAGTATTCTCTCGTCTCTACTACCAATTATAATACTCTTGAAATCGGTCACTTGTTGAAAACCTATAGAACTAGTTCCTGGATTGTCTTTTTTTTCTGATCGGGCCTTCCAAAGTACAACAATTTCCGAAAATACAGCCAACTCGATATTCATAGGCAGCACTTTGCACAGTCACGGAATGCTTAAGATTCTAAGATTTTAATTCCTTGTTGGCGACCGGACTATCTCCTCAAGGTATTAAACATCATATGTTCCTCATCAAGTGTTTAAAATTCCCACCACAGGAAACATGTCACCTAGAAAGTTCAAATTTGCCACCGCTCCCCGTACCTTGTGCGAACATCACCAAGCAACGATAGACCCTTCTCAAAAATTATCCCATAATTCTGTTTCAGTCCTCCTCAAAGTGTCATGCATAATACCATCCTACTAATTCCGTCCACTCCGACTAGGCCTCAGCGGCTAGGAAGCTGAGATGGCAGGAAGAGCTTGTGGCTCCTAATGATATTTCCGCGCGTGCATGTGGTCATGTCTACAGACAGGTTGCCTGGCTCCTGAGTGTAATCATGTGTCTGTGAACCAACCAATTAGTCACCAAGTCGAAAATACTGTCGCTGCCACTAGAGAGTCTTCTTTCGGAGATCTCATTGACCTGCTTCCACAGAAATAGAAGAACCTCCACGTACCTCGACTCTTTTTGTTTTTACTTTATTTCGCGAGATGTCAAACTCGCAGGAATGAGGATAAAGCCTCAAGGCAGCTTCATCGGGGAACTTCTGGAGCCGTTGCTCAACAAGGTAGCCTAGGCTCAGCTTCACTGACTGGGTTCCGAACTGACACTTCCCGGCTCGTTGGACGACAAATAAGCTCCAGATGCGGCTCTCGTCAAACTTTTTGCACGTCTCTGGCATATGCGCTTCAATAGAGGTGCGTTGTTTGCAGAACGGGCAAATATCCAGATAGCCGTTGCCTCTGCCGACACATTGCTGGCCCTCATGCCCTATTCGCTGGCAGATATTGCAGACCGGCACGAGTTTTTGAATTACAATCTTGTATGTCCCTTCGCCGCGTCGCTCCACTGTGTTGGTAAAAATGTTTGCTATTTCAGCAGAGGAGGCATCCGTCAAGGTTTTCGTCTCAGCTGCGCTGGGTACAATTGATCCCTGAGCAAATGCGGTCAAAGGAGATGAGATTGTCGAGTCGGCGACTCTGCGATCAATTGAGTTCTGGTGAGATGGGTCTGTTTGGACGACCTTGATCTTGGCGGTATTGACGGCTTGAAACGATAACTTTCCAGCTTCTACTGCTTTGAGACGCGGGGGCTCGGCAGCTTTGATCTCGTTAACTTCAAGGCCCTCCGCATTGAGGTCGATGCATGCGGAGTATCGAAACTGTTGCTGAGCAGGCCATTGCCTGTGGCGTTGCGACTCGGGCTCCGGGGATAGATCGTCGCTGGCAGCACGTTTGAGGTGACCTTTAATGCTTTCAGACATGTTTGTCGATGGTGAGGATCGCCTCATTTCGTGTACTCTGCTCCGAAGGGGAAGCGATTCCGAAAATTAGATGGTTTGAGGAGAGGTTTGGGAGATTGTAAGGTTTGGGCTTTAGGTGACAAAATTACGTTTACCCAGGCCAGGAACTCAACAAAACCTGGGAATGGAATATGGGCAATGGGATGCTCTTTCCGCTTCGTTGAATTCTGCACTCCAAAAAAGTTCAAGTTGAAGGAAGGAGCGCCAGAGACCGCACTCTTCCCATGGTCAACTTGGAAGTAGACATCGGGACTCGGAGTTTCAGGTTAAACAATCGAACCCGAAAGGCAGAAAGCTACGCTGCTGCCGGCACCGCGAGTTGCAAGTTCCGACTGGCCGGCCTCCAAACCTGTGTTTTTTTGCATTGGAGATACAATCTTTCCCATTTTGTAGAAAGATATCCAGAATGACGATATCCAGCAGATACTTCTCAATTATTTGCTCTCCTGTTCCAAGAGTCCCCTTCGCCACAACTCCATCTCTTTCATTGCCAACTTATACCCCACAGACTGCTTGATCGGCAAAAACCAATCATCCATTTCATCAATCAACCCGCTTATTTTCTCCTGTCCTTCCCGGAATGCCTTATTTTCTCCCTGCTCCATCTCATCAAGAGCATATACTTCGTACTTCTTTTTAGTAGGTGATGCCGCTTCGTCCTCGTCACTGCTTACCAGCGAGTTCGAGTGAAGGGAAAGTACATCATCGACATGTTCGATCCCTCGTGCTGTGATTTCGTCACCGCTTAGTTTCCGAAATTCCATCTCCCTTGATGATGGCTCTGGCGTCATGATGTTTAGTACACCCTCTTCTACTTTTTGGAGAGATGCTGCTGCGCTGGAGGGGAGATGCGAAGATGCCAATGATGCGAGTGATGATAATGTTCCCGGCACAGAATGGGAAGTCGAATCCAGGGTTGAGGGTCTGGGCACGGTTTTGGATTCAGCCACTGCGGTGGGTTTCTGAGCCACTGATATTGAAGGTATTTGGTTGGTGATCATGGCTCCGGTCGTGGCTACTGTCAAGCGGGCTGCAGTTTTGGCGGCGGTGGTTAGGTGATTGCTCCTAGCTCTAAGCCAATCTGTAAACTTTCCGGAATTCATCGTTGAGATGTTTACGTTCGTCTGCATGTCTCGTTAGTACCATGATATCATTGGTTCCAATTGGCTGAACTCACTGGTTGTCGGCAGAGTCAGAAGCGGTATCGAATCTCTATAAGCGGCTGTCACGAGCTGATCGAGGTGGTAGTTATCAGTGACAATGGTGTACGGGTCTGTCGCAGTCAGAGAAAAAAGTAGAAGAGGATGGAGATAATCGAAAACCGTTAAAGTGCGGAGACAAGCCATGGTTGCGAATAGTGGCTGTAAATAAGGTTCGTCTCGATATCAATGGTGGGACAATGTCAGCAAACCTTGAGTCATCTCAATTGACATTGAAGATAGGTGTTCAACTATAATATCCAAAAACTACTGGCGAGAACTAGAAGGCTGTTATGCTGTGCGAATAGTCTTTGTCTTCCAGCCGAACTGAATCTAGCAGTCACTGTTGAATGCCTTTGTCTTTTTGAACAGCAAAGCGTGGTGCAGGGTTATAATTGAATTCTCTTGTGAGTCAATATGCTTTGTTTCAAACATGTGCTAATTTCTGTTTTCTCACGCATGTAGAATATGGATGGGCAAGCCTGAAGGACTGCAACATATATATATATGTGACCGTACAAACATATCTGAACTGCCACCCCTGCTCACTCATTTCGGAACTAAGATATATATATATCTACAGACTTTCTATACTCCACAGCCTTGGTGTCTAGAATCAAGATGCCAAACTCCCCAGCTGAGAAGCCAGTAACCTCGAGCTCGGCCTCGATGATGCTACTGCAGCCACCTACCAGCCATACACACATTCGGCCAAAACTGGTGATTACAAGACCATGGGTCCAGACCACTTCAAGAATCTCGCAGCCCAGCTGAAAACGAGACAATCCGGTTAGCAGATGAAGCAAAAGGAGTTAACTGCGCGACGTGCCTCCACGCTCCTGGAACTTGAGAGGTCTCAGTGAATGTTCGAAAACATTGAGCCCGAGGGATATAAAATGATAGGTTTCAAAGTCCGCTTACTAGCTGCAGCAAAGCGAACGGGGGCTATGATGAAAAGTTTTGTATTTTTGGTTTTAAATAAAAAAAGATTTTAGTTCTCGTGTGGTTGGTCACAAGTGAGTCCTGATCCTCAATCATGTGAGTGAGTATCCAGAGTCCAATTTCATCTCGATTTCTACTGGCAAGTTTTCACTTTAATACATACAACATGTTTGAGTCAAGAAGCAGTCACACCGATGATTCAAACTATTGGGATGAGGAAATCTTCTCACATCAACTTGTGAAGTGTTGCGCAATTTGGTGATTGTCCTTGTTGCCCACGCAAATGAGCCGCTCTGGCGGCTCACCAAATCATTCACCATAACTAACAGGCAACTTGGCCGAGTGGTCTAAGGCGACGCACTCAAGGAGTATATATCCTTCTCTTTCCCAAGAAAGAGTGTATTGCGTTCTCGCGAGAGGCGTGAGTTCGAATCTCACAGTTGTCAATTGACTTTTTGCCGGATTCCAGTTACACATTCACCGTTTGTGGAGCCATACACCCTCCCCCCCTTTTTGTTTGTTTATTTGTTGGATCATTTTGGCGAATCTGTTATTCATGTCGAATATCAATAAAAATATGCGCTTGGTCTGAATCAGAAGTACAAGAACCGTTCAAAATGTCCCATCTAAAACTCAACTACTTTATCCAAGTCTATCTCTTCAACATCCGTGCCCAGTTCGGTGACTTCAACCTGTTCCCCATCAGAATCGACCCCGACAGCGAAGCCGACAGTGGGCTGGTCAGGGCTAATCTCCTCCCTAGAAGAAAGATACGAGCTGACCAGCGGGGCTTTCACTTCTTGGTCGATGGTGTTGATGATGCTTCGTGCGCCCAGCTCCTCGACATACCCCTGAGCGGCAAGCGCCTTGCAGACAGAATAACCCCGCTTGATGTCCAGATTGATGTTTCCGACGGGGCGGTAGAGCTTCTCATCGTCTGAGTCGTCAATGGGTTTTGTGAGCTCGCCGCCCAAGTCACTGAGGTACATATCTGCGACGGCGGCTTGTTCGACTGCGGAGAAGGTGAGAAAGGGAATGAATTCTTTGATTCTTCCAGTTAGAGGTGCCTACGAAGAAAAGTCAGCAGATGGTATAAATGATGCAAGGGCAGTGACTACATCAGAGGGATTGAACTTACGCCAAACCTTCCAATGCACTCCTTCCGTATCTTCCTAGATAGCTTCTGCCCCAGGTCTTTGAGCGTTTCTTGAGACTTCTTGGAGTTGTCATTCGCAAAAAGTTGGTCGTAGTAGCGGGCACAAAAGCTGTGAATTGTCGCATCAAACGCATTTGTCGCAAGTACCCATATCGTCTTGGAGCAGTCGACCGTGGTCAAATATCTTCGATCCGTATACTCCCCTGAATCCGACCAAAATGAAGACGCACCCAGGATTAGCGAGAATATGAATGACTGGGGTAGAAAGTCTTACCGTTTTGAAACGGAATCAGAAGCGACTGTCTGACCCCCTGATTTGTCTTTTCAAACTCGTCCAAGAAGATAATTGACCGTGCTCCATCCTGGCCAGCAAGGAAGTTGTTGGTGGCCGACCCTTCCTGATGCCCCCAATAAGGAGCACGAGGACCGAATAAATCCGTCTCGTGAGCAAGACCGGTACAGTCAACGTTATGAAGGTTAAGCGTGAGTAGCTCCCCCAGCCTTCGAGCTAACTCGGTCTTTCCATGTCCACTTGGGCCAGCAAATAGCAGTACAAGAGGGCCCTTTGACGGCATGGCAAGGTGACTTGATTGTCAGCAAATGTGTAATTTTTGGTTGTTTGCTGAGTACCTACTTGATGAACTTCTCCACCAAAAGCCGACAAGCCAGCCTTTGACCAATGAGAAAATACGGTATGCCCAGAATGCCGATACTTTTTAGTTTTTTGGCCACCTGCTTCATGGCTCCGGAGACTTTCTCTGCCCCTGATGCGTAGTGAAGATCGTAACGGATGGTGAAGCTAAAATTGAGAGCGCGAGCTACCCGTCTTCGAGCGGAAGGAACACACCATGCCTTGTTGTCGTCGTCCAGGTCGTCAAGCTCGTCGTCTGCGGGACCAGAGTCTGGGAGGTCACGGTCCAGAGGGGTGTAAAACGCCCGGGGAATGGCGTCCACGGAAGCACCAGTGCTGAGCAATATTTTGACAATCATGACTGTATGCTTCTGGAACGACCTGCAGAGGCCAATTGCGAACACGATAAGAGGCACACCGAGGTGAGTGACGTTGACGTCGGCGCCGTAGGATGCCCAAAGTTTGACCATGTCAACCTTTCCGCTCTCGACAATGTAGAAGAATGCAGGGATGCCTTTCACATTAGAATTGAGATGGTCTTGGAGTTCCTTTGCAGTGAGTTGTTCTCGGTAGTGAGTGAGGTAGTTTCGGATGATCTCGCAGGTGTAACCGCCTTGGATGGCCCCCACAACCGAGGGAATCGAGATGCTGCCTAGGGTTTTCCGGGAGCCATATGGCGTCAAGCCGTAGTCGTCGGTGTCGTCATCCTCGTTGCATGCAGAGTCAGCAGTATGGTTCAGCCGGGCTGGCACAGGTATCTCGGGCAGAACATAGTCCCACTGTGCTGCTTGGGTTACGCGCAATTTCGAATTTCGCCATTTGTTCTGCTTTGTAGGTGTCTTCATGGCGGCCATCTCGATTGAATCAAATGTGAGGCTATATTTCGAACCGGGACACCAAAGATAGAGCCAGAATGATTCCAGGGGTTGCGTCTCATATTGTCCTCAACCTTTGCGGCGTTTGTCTTCAGCAATGTGCAGTTCTGGGCGGAAGGCCTCAGTGCTGCAGAGCCTGCAACCAATGTCACCAGCCGATGAAACTTGCATTGCTATTGGTAGAAGGTTGGAGGATGAGGCTGAACAAGGGAGAAACGGTTTCTCTTTTGATTGGGACTTGCCCAGAGAGGTGGGGGTTGAACATTTCCCATCGTATCAGAAAGTCTACAGACCCGACATCCACCTGGAGATGCGCCTGCAGGATGTCCGCTGTACCATAGTAGCTCTATTACGTGGCCACAGGCCGGAGGTTTCGCACCCTGACACGTGGTCCTGGAAAAGACTTGTGAGTTGTAACGGTTTGTTAGGGATTTCTTAGGATGTTGCGCAAGTCTTTTCCAGCACAAACGTGCCTGATACGGAAATTTCAACCCTGACAGGACCCTTTACACTAAGTTATGCAGCCAAGGCACTCTGTCAGTGCAATACGGCACCATTAGCCCATTTGTCTCCAGTGTGAGATGATGTCACCAACTGCCTGGCATGACTGCTGATTGGCCGACTGGGTCATTTTTTCGACTTCCAGAATCTTGATTCGAGAATCTCGATCCAGTGCCAAGCGACCCCGAGACAGAAACAGGTCCACGAGCGGCAAAGGCCGGACGGGGTATATTTTCTTCGGGACGTTGTCCACCCCTTCCCATTCGCGGTTTCACCGTTATTGGTCCCAGAACTCCCTTCAACCACTTTATACTCGTACCGAAAATGCCTTTTCAAAACATTGCGCCAGCGCCCAGGGCGTCACCGGATTCAAACGAAGGTTCATCAAGCTCGCCAACCGCTCATATCACCACCAACTTACCCAAGCGGCGCGACGTGGTCCGGAAAGCCTGCATCCCGTGCAGGACAAAGAAGATCAAGTGCAGTAGCGGACAACCGTGCAGGCAATGCATCTCTCGGGACAAGGCTCCGGCCGACTGCATCTACGCATTGGCGCCCGAGGAGAGCCTCCGGCTGGATAATGAACGACTGGAAAAGCTGGTCAGGGAGCTGCAGGAGCGACTGGCCGAGGTCCAAAGCAGAGCGATCGATATTGCACACCTCTCGACGCTTGAGCCTGTCTCGCCGCAGCCCTTTGCGGATCTGCTTCCCAGCGAGCACGATGGCTACGGTAGCCTGGTGTACGTTGAAGGCTTTGATTGCACCAACACTGATAGATGTACAATACCAAGCTCTTATTTCGTCGACGAACAGCCCCACTTGTCCATGTCATGGGTCTTGTGCATCGCAAACTCTTTGCCGTTGTTAATGCCAAACTAGTTTCCCAACTCGAACTACTCACCCGTTGTTCCTCTCAACAGCAAGCCCGTCGCCGGCTAGCACCGGGAGTGGTATAGACCTCCCTCAGACCGTCAGTCCAAATTTATTGCTGAGTTCATCGACAAAACCGCCACCCAGTGTTCTTCCGCTGCTCTCGACCAGCTTGTCCCGCCTCGATAGAGAAGTCATGCTCTTACCGCTGCCCCAAAACAGTCTTGCGTACGAGTTGTCGATACGCTGTATGTACCCCGTTTGGAGATGTACGACAGCTGAATGACGAGTAACAAGTGAAATAGACCCCTCTGTGTGCCCTGCCCTCACGCCGCCCGATGGAGAGTTGCTTGGGCTGCAAGTATTGTTTGACGCAACGTTGGTTGAAAGCCAGATTGACTTGATCCATTCAATGAAGCCGCCCGCTATTGGCCTAGGTATGAGACTATGTGATCAGAGACTAGGGGGGTTGGAGTTGTTTGACCGATGGACCAACGTCGCAATCGATCATGGCCTTGCCGCTGAGCTTATCTCTAGGTATCTCGAGACTGATCACCCGATACTTGGCCCCTTCGACGCCGATCTATTCCTCAACGATCTCGTTACCTCTGGAACGGACTATTGTTCACCACTACTGGTGTCTGCCATCCTTTCTTGGGCATGTGTAAGCTATCAATCTCTAACCATGGCTGGTGGCAAAACGGGTCTAACCGAGGAAACAGCAAGCATATGCCGACCAGTACCCCGATTTACACCTGCAAGACTTTGCAGTTTTATTCAACTCGGAGGCGCAACATTTGTTTTGGCAGCCTGAGAATCTCCACCACATAACCTCCGTGTCCGCAGCCGTTTTTCTTGAAGTTTGTGCCAATTCCTCTGGTCGGATTGAGGAAGGTGCCAAGTACAAGGCAGCAGGTCTCGCCATCAGCGAAGAACTGGGCCTTTTGGGAGGATTGGTTCCGGTTGAGCAGCAAGAACAGTTATGGACTACTTTCACAACAGACCAACTACGTGCGAGGTCTCACGCTGCCTGGGGCTTATTTGCGCTCCGCATGTATGCAGCCTTTTGTGTATCCCTCACCATCATGAGTACCTATTGAGTGCTGACAAGGACGAATTTTAGTCACTTCGATCTGCTTCATTGCTCTTGCTCAGTTCCAGGACCGCCATCGGTTCCTCTACTTGGGCGAGATACTTACACAGGCGCTGACGGACTGCCTAAATCTCTTCTTTATCCTCTCCATGTCGGCCCTTCGTTTGTGGCAGACCACGAGCTGGCAGTCCTGATACACGAAGCAACCAAAAAAATGTATGGCGATACCGGCAACCGAAAACAGCACATTCTGAGCCTCGAACAAGTCGAATCTCTATTTCGCCGGTTCCTGGCATGGTCTAGTGCCATACCACTTGAGT